AGTTTAGTGTGGTTAAAACAGAGTTAGCTTCCCAAAATTAAGATTTTTGAAAAAAGGATAACTTAATATATAAATTCATTAAAAAGTCTAACGGAAAATGCATTTACAGAAATTTAGCTTTTAAGAGCGTAAGTTCAAAACCCTCAAAATTGTCAAAAACCCGGCTTTTTCACAAAAAGAGAAAATTATCCGTAAAAACAAAGTTTTCTCATCGATGAATGATCCCAAACTCTTAATTACTCTTGGAAAATGAAATTTTGAATGATTTGGCGCTCATTTTCCACTATATAGTCAGAAGCGAACTCTTGTGAAAGTGGGGTTTTCAAAAAGTGTCCTTTTTTTGGTTACTCGCATTTCGCCCTCGAAATTTCTTCAATGCTTCGAATCCAACAATTGAAAGAATTTTTTCTAATGAACTGATATATTGTCATCCTTTTTATTTAAATCTTTAATTTTGGGAAGCTTGCTCTTGTTTTGACCACCAACTAAACTTGTCCCTAAATGTGAACTTTGATCCTTTTTTGGTTACTCTCATTTCGCCCTGGAATTTTCTTCAATTTCTTCCCAATTTCTTCGATCGAATTGAAACACGTTTTAGCCTCTCTTTGTAGAGAAGGATTTACAACTTTCAAATAGTTTACATTCAAATAGTATAACATTCATCGATATCAGGTTTCTATCATTGGGAATTTATGAAAAGGTTGAAATCCGCATTTCTTATGCATGTACCTAATAATTTAAATAAATTTGAATTTAAAACTGATTAGAATCTAGTTTATAATTGAAATTACTGTAAATAGATTATGATAGCAATTGACAGTAGCAATTAGTTAAAATAGCAATTAGTTAAAGTAGCAAAGCAATTTAGAAGTAGCAATTTAGAAATCTCAATTGCCAGTAACAATTTAGACAGTTACGATTAGCATAGCTTACTCTAAGCCTACTCTGTTTTAAAGTGATACAAGCGGAAAATCATTGTGAATTAAATGAGATAAAAATGAAGGAAAACAGAAAAAAATCTAAAGTATTCTAAACAGATTTATAAAGTAAAGATTTCAAAAGTCTTAAGATATTTCTAAAGATACAATCACCAAGCCAGAGCCAGCCAATTCTTTAAAGTCAGTGACTGATCAAAAACAGTAAGCTCTCAAAATCAAAGTAACTCAAAAAAATAGCATCAAAAACCTTCAGCTTAGTTCTCTTAGTTCCCCAGGATCATCTCAGTTCTCTAAATGAATCAAAGTTCTAGGCAAGTCTGTTCGCCTTCGAGAGTTCTCTATCTGTTTGAGTGAGTGTAAATTCTTGAGGGTGGATAAGAGATCAAAATCAAAAGAGATTTCAAAAGAGATTTCTTCAATCAGATTTCTGTAACTGATCAGAATCAAAGAGAAAAAAAAGAGGAATTCTCAAGTGGTTTCTTGAAGATTTGTGTCGATCATGTGGAGAAAAATGACAACACAAATCTCTTTCAGCCCTTTGCTTCTTTCAGAAAATTAGAAGAACAGTTGAAACGTTTTTGTATTTCGTGATCGTCTAGACGAAAAAAGGGGTAGTATTTATTGTTTTGATTAAGCACAAAATCTATTAGGTTGATATCTATTGGGTTGGTGAATTGAAAACTGCTATTGTCAGCTGTCAGCCGGCTATTGTCAGCTGTCAGCTGTCAGCCGGCTATTGTCAGCTGTCAGCCGGCGATTGTCAGCTGTCAGCCGGCTATTTTCAGCTGTCAGCCGGCTATTGTCAGCTGTCGGCTGTCAGCCGGCTGGCCGTCAGCTGTCAGCTGTCAGCCGGCTATTATCCAGCTGTCAGCCGGCTATTATCAGCTGTCAGCCGGCTATCGTCAGCTGTCAGCCGGCTATTGTCAGCTGTCAGCCGGGCTATTGTCAGCTGTCACCTTTTGAGCACTTTCTTCAAAAGAAACCCATTTTGGTGTGAATGGAAAAGTTGTAGAGAATTAAAAATGAAGCTTCAAAAATAAACAGCAAATCTACATAATCAGCAAATGTACATAATCAGCAAATGATTTGTATCGAAATTAAATGATTTTATCGTTTTAATCCAGATTTTAAAGTCTTCTCAGCTAGATTTTTCTCAGATAAAAAGTAAAAACTAATAAACTGCAATTCTAAACAAACAAAGTGACACAATGGAATTGTTTAATGAAAGAAAATAGAAAAATCGACCAAATAGAGATATCCGAATTTTGATTTAAGATAATTTCTAAAGCAAAGTGATCAGTTGCAAACGAGAGACTCGATCATTTGCGTCGATTTGATCGATTTCGGGTAAACATTTGATTTCTTTGCTTTAGTGAAAAGCTTTCTTTCGGAGAAATCCACTCGCTTCCTCTTTCCATCAGAAAAGTGTGGGGGTGGATTCGAGGATTTCGAAGGAAGCAAAAAAGAAAACGGAAGAAATCTCGTGAGCGGCGATGTTTTCCGTTGACTCCCGTTCAACTGATCGAAAACATTTTTCCTCAAAGCAGAGCTTGAAACTGCTTTTCTTGGGCTTGAAAGAAGGCAAGAGGGCTTAAAAACAAAGCTTGAAACTTCAAACAAACTTTGAAACAAGCATTTGGTTTTTAAACGTTAACTTTTAACATTTAGAACTTTGTTTTAAAATGTTTAGAACGTTTTTAAATGTTTAGAACGTTTTAAACGTTTAGAACTTTTTAAACCTTAACTTTTAGTATCCCTTACCTTTACGAAAACACTAAAATAAATACCGAAACTCCAATCAGCTTAGCTCAATGAAACAAATCTCGACACAAAGTTGCGTATTTTGTTAAAATTGATTTATGAAATCAATTGATTTATGTATTTATCTTTTTCATGCCATTTGATCAAAACAAATAAGGATTTATAAGCTACAGAAGTACCATAAAGATTCTAATAGAAGAGGAGCGTCGCCTCTAAGTTTGCTCTCAAACAAACACAAATATCTCGACACCCGTACGTTTATTTCTACACGCTTAGGTATCAAATGGGTGATTTGATCAGTACGTTTGACCAGATAACTGTCGTCCGAAACGGCAGCCAAGACAAAAGTTTACATAGCTCGACACCAGTACGTTTGTTTCTAGGCGCTTAGGGAGCAAATTAAAGTAGAGAAAATGGGTGATTTTTTTGAGATATTAAACCAGGAAGCAAGAGAATAAAAAAGTAATGAAACCAGCGCTGAAAAAGCAGATTTGAAATGGTAAAGTTAACGTTGAAAAAGCAGGTTTTAAATATTAAAATTTAACGTTGAAAAACCAATGCTTGTTTCAAAGTTTGTTTGAAGTTTGTTTGAGGTTTTAAACTTTGTTTTAAGCCTTCTTTTAAGCCTTCTTTCAAGCCCAAGAAAAGCAAAACAAAAGTAATCTTTTAAACATTCTTTATAAAAGCACAAATAGCTGTTTTTGGCTGTGTCTGTTTCGGCTGTGTCTGTGAATCATACTATGAAGTTTATTGATTAATGAAGCAGAATACGAACCAAGGATTAATGAAGCAGATAATCAATCAGATAATGAATGAATGAATGAATGAAGGAATCAATCAATCAATCCAATCAATCAATCCATATCAATCAATCAATCAATCAATCAATCAATCAATCAATCAATCAAATCAATCAAAGCAATCAAATCAATCAAATCAATCAACCAAGTCAATCAAGTCAATCAACCAAATCAATCAATCAAATCAATCAAATCAAACAAATCAATCAAACCAATCAAATCAATCAATCAATCAATCAATCAATCAATCAATCAATCAGCCAAACAATCAGCCAAACAATCAGCCAAACAATCAGCCAAACAATCAGCCAAACAATCAGCCAAACAATCAAACAATCAGCCTCAAATAATCAATCAACTCTCGCAAATTTCTAGGCATCAACGCGAACACTCTTCAATTCTATCGTCACGGGATCTCGCATCCATGGAAGGTAAAAACAATTTAAAATTGAGTAAACGAGCAACTCTTTTGAAACTTTATGGTTAAATAATAATTTTTTCCATAGAAAGCCCCGGCAAATTTTTTTCATAAAGATTTCTGTAACCGACTCACTTTTGAAGCTTAAGCTACTAGATTTTGTTTTCAATCAATCTTTCTGATACCTCTTTAGATCAAAGATTGCCGTTTTTGCACAACAATGCCTCAATATAGGCTTAATTTGAATATTTTTCTTTAAATCAGCCTTTCATTATACTAAGTTTACTTATAAATGAGTTTTTTTTCAAGTTTAGAAAACTCGTTTCTTAAAGTTCCATCTTTCACTTTTTTCGCTTTCAAAGGAAATCGAGGCAATCAAGGAATTCAGATGTTCTGCGAGCCGTTCATGCTAAATCATGGAGTGTTGATTGTTGGGTATGGAGAGGAAAAGAATAAGGTGAGTGGAAAACTTTTTACAATAAGAACTTCATCAAAAACTTTTTTTATACTGCTAAAAAGCCAGAGTCTTTGTTTAAAAATTCACGATAAAGCCATTTTTGTCTTGGCTGCCGTTTCGGACGACAATTATCTACCGTAAAAGCTCGAATAGAAAAGCCCCTATAGAAGCGTCGAGTAGTCAAAGTTTACTCTTAAACAAGCGCCAATATCTCGACACCAGTACGTTCGTTTCTAGGCGCTTAGGTATCAAATTAAAGTAGAGAAAATGGGTGATTTTTCAAGATATAACATATATTTTTTTGCATTAATCAACACTTAGAACAAAATGATTGAAAAGTGGTAAAAAAGCCGATTTTTCATCATTTTTCAATCATTTTTTTCTAAGCGTTGGTTAATGCAAAAAATATGTGTTATATCTTAAAAAATCACCCATTTTCTCTACTTTAATTTGCTCCCTAAGCGCCTAGAAACAAACGTACTGGTGTCGAGATATTCGTGTTTTTTTGAGAGTAAACTTTGACTACGCGACGCTTCTATAGGGACTCTTATATCAGACTTTTTTTACGGTATGTTAGCTGTAGGCCTGAAAATTTGTAACCGGAAGCATTCTGGGATGGAGAATATGAATCAGTTATTAGTTTTTAAGCAATTTTAATTTCCGAGCCAATACGGTCATCACAAAACTCGAAAACTTAGGTAATTAAAGCGAATTGGAGAAAAAAAAGAGCAAAAACAAGTTTGGGTTCTGTCTTATATCGTTATAGGCCGTGTGCCAGAAGCTGTGCGATTACGTTAACATGAAAATTTTCTCGTTTTTGTAAGCACGACCTTCTGGGAAATGGCCCTGGATTTGGGATTGAACTTGGGTAATTGAACCGAATGAAATATCCAAAAATAGAGCAATTTTCTTTAAAAACCAATAACGGATTCGAATCCCCTTGACCCCGAAAACCCATTGCTGTAAATTTTCAGCCAAATTAGCCTCAAAAAAAGTGCTAAATCCGGGCTAGAAAAGGGAAAATTCCAACCGGAACCTCATTCCCACCTTTATTTAATCAGCCATCATTTGTTATGGATTCATTGATCTTGTTTTATGAATCAGTAAAAGCTCCTTTCCCATGTCTAGCCCGAATTTAGCACTTTTGAGACACTTTTTGAGACCAAACTTCAACTTTTTATATAATAAATGTTTCAAAAAAAACCGAATTTAGCCCTACTGGATCGTGAAGAACTCGTGGGGACAACGCTGGGGAGAGAATGGATATTATCGGTGAGAGCAACTTTTGCTTATTCAAAACTACACATTCGGCACGCGGCCATTGATCTATATGAATGCGCTTGCTTAATACATTCACGACGTCGGCATTTTGAATGTACAGTCGCGTAGTAATTACTGTTTTACCGATAATTTTGTGAAGATTCAAAGAAAAACTAAACTATCACAGTCATTCGATAGCCCTGAATCTTCTCTTGAAAACTGCTACAAATTTACCGAGAACTTTCTGCGAAATGGATAACAAAATCCTTAAGAAGTCGAGTTGACGCTAAAAATAATCGTCATTAGTACGGCTCACCGGTGGTGAATGTGTTAAAACTTGGAAAGGAAAAGGGTTAATGTTTCAAGCTGGAGAAAGTGTTCTCCGATCTTACAGAAACTAACCTAACTCCGATCTTACAGAACTTACAGAACTTAGAGATCTTACAGAACTTACAGATCTTACAGAACTTACAGATCTTACAGATCCTACAGAGCTTACAGATCCTACAGATCTTACAGACCGATCTTACAGCCAATCTCCATCCACATTTGATCATTTTTTTGCCAATCAACTCCAATATTGAACCGATTTCCAGGGTCCCTTCCATACTTTGTAGGATTTTCTCTCTCGTAGTGTCCTTTTTGAATTCCTTTCGTCATGTACTAACGATTGTACATGGTATTCAATATCTATGGAGACTAGTAGATTACTAGGTTTAGAGCTTGTACAAGTTGAGAGTTTGTACAAGTTGAGAGTTTGTACAAGTTGAGAGCTTGTACAAGTTGAGAGCTTGTACAAGTTGAGAGCTTGTACAAGTTGAGAGCTTGTACAAGTTGAGAGCTTGTACAAGTTGAGAGCTTGTACAAGTTGAGAGCTTGTACAAGTTGAGAGCTTGTACAAGTTGAGAGCTTGTACAAGTTGAGAGCTTGTACAAGTTGAGAGCTTGTACAACTTTAATACTAAAAAGGAAACACATTTATCAATAACAATTTTAACAACTTTCAGTTACTTTTTTTAACATTTGCCTTTGAAATTATTGCCCTTAATTTTAATTTTTCAATTTTAGCAAAGCTTTTCTGCTTGGCAGAACAATGACTGGCTTAGGCTTAGCATAAATGCTTCAACTTTAAGAAACTTTAAGAAACTCAAAGTACTTAAAGTAAGAAAACATTAGAATTTCACATTTTTTAATTCCACATCAAGAAAATTTCCAGTTTATACCGCGGGAAGAACGTTTGCGGAGTGCAAGAGATGCCCACATCAGCCATTGTGAAATGATCCATTTTTCTGATTCAATTTTGCTCAACAATACATTATAATATGTTTTTTAAATGCAATAAATGTATCTGAAAGCTAAGCAAGCGATCGCAGCAAGCAATTGTTGGCTTAAAAAACCTTTGTTTCAAAGAAATTAACCTTGAAACGTTAAGTGATTGACGAATGGCTAGATTTCGATTAAAATTTTTTACAAAAGGGTTCTTACAGCTCTTACAGATCTTACAGAACTAGCAGATCTTACAGATCTTACAGAGCTTGCAGAACTACAGATCTTACAGATCTTACAGAACTTACAGAACCTACAGATCTCACAGAGCTTGCAGAACTACAGATCTTACAGAGCTTGCAGAACTACAGATCTTACAGAGCTTGCAGAACTACAGATCTTACAGAGCTTGCAGAACTACAGATCTTACAGAGCTTGCAGAACTACAGATCTTACAGAGCTTGCAGAACTACAGATCTTACAGATCTTACAGAACTTACAGAACCTACAGATCTCACAGAGCTTGCAGAACTACAGATCTTACAGAGCTTGCAGAACTACAGATCTTACAGAGCTTGCAGAACTACAGATCTTACAGAGCTTGCAGAACTACAGATCTTACAGAGCTTGCAGAACTACAGATCTTACAGAGCTTGCAGAACTACAGATCTTACAGATCTTACAGAACTTACAGAACCTACAGATCTCACAGAGCTTGCAGAACTACAGATCTTACAGAGCTTGCAGAACTACAGATCTTACAGAGCTTGCAGAACTACAGATCTTACAGAGCTTGCAGAACTACAGATCTTACAGAGCTTGCAGAACTACAGATCTTACAGAGCTTGCAGAACTTACAGAACCTACAGATCTTACAGAGCTTACAGAACTACAGATCTTACAGAGCTTGCAGAACTACAGATCTTACAGAGCTTGCAGAACTACAGATCTTACAGAGCTTGCAGAACTACAGATCTTACAGAGCTTGCAGAACTTACAGAACCTACAGATCTTACAGAGCTTACAGAACTACAGATCTTACAGAGCTTGCAGAACTACAGATCTTACAGAGCTTGCAGAACTTACGGAACCTACAGATCTCACAGAGCTTGCAGAACTACAGATCTTACAGAGCTTGCAGAACTTACAGAGCTTGCAGAACTATAGATCTTACAGATCTTACAGAAACTAACCTAACTCCGATCTTACAGAACTTACAGAACTTAGAGATCTTACAGAACTTACAGATCTTACAGATCCTACAGAGCTTACAGATCCTACAGATCTTACAGATCGATCTTACAGCCAATCTCCATCCACATTTGATCACTTTTTTGTCAATCAACTCCAAGATTGAACCGATTTCCAGAATCCCTTTCATACTTTGTAAATTGTGAAATGATCCATTTTTCTGATTCAATTTTGCTCAACAATACATTATAATATACTTTTTAAATGCAATAAATGTATCTGAAAGCTAAGCAAGCAATTTATTTTGGCTTAAAAAAACTTTGTTTCAAAGAAATTAAGGTTTAGTAGACGTTAATCGATTGACGAATGGCTAGATTTCGATAAAATTTTTACAAAACACAATAAAGGAAAAAAGTAAACTATAATTTCTATCAAATATTGCAAATTTGTACATCCTGAGTTTTCTTTAGTGAATTTGAAACACAATATTTTTGGCAGTGTTCTTTTCTGAAAAGATTAGTAAGCATTTCCTCTAGTGTTGCCCCCTAGTGTTGCCCGTGAGGGGATGGGATCTGAAAAAAATCATTGATTTTGTTAAATTATCGGACTAATACTTATATAAACTCGAAATTTATCTATTTTTTTCATTAATTTTGTCTATTACAATGTCTATTGATAAGTTTTTGATGAAATCTATTGATTTTCTAGATTTTGAAACCTGTTGTTGTTGTTGTTGATGTCCAGGCGCCTCGTTCCAGTTCACCTCACGTTTTCCTGAACAAATTTGGTTCTTGTAAAGTATTTAAATGATTATTTTATGATTAGGTACTAAACTTAGACACTAGACTAGACAAAAACATCAGTCAGTCCTTTGCCGTTGGCAATTGAAGGTTTTTCGTGTTTTTCTCAGTAGCAACTCTTCGATTTTGACTATTTTGACTACCATTCGATGCAGAATAAAATCGCGCGTCGAATGATACCAAAATTAACTAAATTTGCATGAATTACTGACAGATATTTTCGTTACAAGTTTATTAGATACTGTATCTTCTAAAACTATGTTTATTAGAGAGTTTTCCTTTTAATCAATTCGTTTTCTAAAACAATTTTATGCTGAACCATCTTTGTTATTGGGTAAAGAGTTTTAAATTTAAAAGTGATCACTTTGAAACAGACTATTTCTAAGGAGCTGACTGCGCTTGAATAGAGAACCTACAGTAAATACTGTAATAGTACCCCAGCTTCTTATTTAAAAGATTGCTTCTTATTTAAATGATTTCCACCGTATTCTTGTCCTATTTTTAATCAATCTATCTACTTTTTTATATCGTTCAATACACTTTGTAAAACAGAATCAGACAAAAAGTGAATGAATTGGATAAAAATAGAGACAAGGTTGCGATAGAAAAAGAAAAGGACACGTTCTAGAAAATAGAGTAGATTAGGGCTAAGGCTAGGACTTCACTTTGCTTTTAAACACGTTAAAATTAAAACTCACCATAGTAGCTGTAGTAGTTGTATGGGTAATAATAACCATACGAGTACGGGTAATAGCTGTAGCCGCTGTAGTAGTTGGGATACTGAAAAAAAAGGAGAACTATCTTAAAAGCTCTAATAGAAAAGCCCCTATAGAAGCGTGGCGTAGTTAAAGTTTACTCTTAAACAAACACGAATATCTCGACACCAGTACGTTTGTTTCTAGGCCCTTAGATATCAAATTAAAGTAGAGAAAATGGGTGATTTTTTAAGATATAACATATATTTTTGCATTAATCAACGCTGAGAAAAAAATTATTGAAAAGTGGCAAAAAAAGCCGATTTTTCATCATTTTTCAATCATTTTTTCTAAGCGTTGGTTAATGCAAAAAATATGTGTTATATCTGAAAATATCACCCATTTTCTCTACTTTAATTTAATATCTAAGGGCCTAGAAACAAACGTACTGGTGTCGAGATATTCGTGCTTCTTTAAGAGTAAACTTTGACTACGCGACGCTTCTATAGGGGCTCTTCTATTAGAGCTTTTACGGTAGATAACAGTCGTCCGAAACGGCAACCAAGACAGAAGTTTACTCGCTCATATCTTGACACCAGTACGTGTGTTTCTAGGCGCTTAGGTATCAAATTAAAGTGGAGAAGATAGGTGATTTTTTTGAGATAGCGCTCAAAATGATTTTGGACGGTGGTAGACGGTGGCTTATTTTGCTCTTTGTGAGATATCGATTTACACTCAGAAACCAAGTCAAAAACCTTCATTTTTCTAATATTATGAGCCTAAAAGCTCTTATCTAGTTCGAGTTTTTATCATAAAATCTTTGATTCTCCTGAGTTCGGTGAAAGGTCACATTTTTTAGCTTTTCAACTAGGCAATTTTTTACGTGACAATTTGGCATAACTAGGTATTTTTGAGCAAATCTGACCTCAAATTCGGATTCTCCATGTATTTTTTAGTCTAAAAAAGTATTTTGCGAAAAGATTTTGACGCGCGCGCACACATCTCTTCAAAATAGTTTAAAAACGGTCAAAATGACTCAAAAATGGTCAAAAAACGGTCAAAAATAACCCAAAAACGATCAAAAACGATCAAAAACGATCAAAAACGATCAAAACGGTCAAAAACGGTCAAAAATGGTTAAAAACGGACCTAGACTACGCGACGCTTCTATCAGAAGCTTTTCTATTAGAGTTTTTAAATTAACGCAAGCATTGACGATTCTTGTACAAAATCGTGTGCTTACATAATATAATATGACTTACATATTACAAGACTTACATAATATGCATACTGGGCGTCAACTTGGCTGACAAAGGCGACTCCAGCCAACAAGAGAATCGCGAGAATGAAACTAGAAATAGTATGTTTCAAGCTTTGAGCAATAAATTTGAAATTACCAAACCTTTTATGTTCTTCTTACAATTTAAAGGCTAAACTTGTAATCAACTAAATAATTCGCTACAGTCTGCGATGAAAAGTATTCAGTCAATAAGCTTGAGTATCTTACTAGCTTTAACGACAGCTTTTGAAAAGCTTGGCATACTTCTCAGCAAAATTTTCGGACATACTGTTATTTAAAAACTGGGAATTCTACGTATCTTATCGTATCGTGAAGATACTACGTATCTCAAAGTTTAACGTTTTTCTTCAATTTTTTTAGCTTTTTCGATGAGATTGATAAAAATAGTCTAATGGAAATTTAGATAGTAAATTTCATTGTCTCAATTTGGACGAATTTGAACGAATTTGGAGGAATTTGAACAAATTTAGATGAATTTGAACGAATTTGGAGGAATTTGAACAATTTGGAAGGAATTTGAACAATTTGGAAGGAATTTGAACAATTTGGAAGGAATTTGAACAATTTGGAAGGAATTTGGACGAGTTTGAACAAATTTGGAGGAATTTGAACGAATTTGGAGGAATTTGAACAATTTGGAAGGAATTTGAACAATTTGGAGGAATTTGAACAATTTGGAAGGAATTTGAACAATTTTGGATGAATTTGAACGAATTTGGAGGAATTTGAACAATTTGGAAGGAATTTGGACGAGTTTGAACAAATTTGGAGGAATTTGAACGAATTTGGAGGAATTTGAACAAATTTAGAGGAATTTGAACAATTTTTGACTCTAATCCAAATACTTGCTTTGATTGGATTCAATTTCGAAATTTTCTATAAGATTTTCTCAATTTTTCAGTGATTAAACCTACACTTTCGCTTTAAGTGCTTTAAACCTACACTTTAAACCTACAAAAGTGCTTTAAACCTACAGTTTCGTCGAGTTCATCTTGAAGATCGTTTTCAAGCAAAGATTCTGTAGC